CACAAAACTTTTTTACTATAACAAAAAAAGAAGAAGTAATTGTACATCAATTTAAAAAAAAATTCTCGAACGATGATTTTTTTATCATCAATTTGATTTTCAAAATTTTATTTAAAATTATTTATCTTTAAATTTTAGTTTAATTAAATTTAATTAATTATATGATTAATTTTAAGAATTAATTCATATATAAAATCTTAGCCAAGCCTAGTCTACTTGTAGAAATTGGGTAGGATAAATTTTAAAATCTTAACTTATTTTGAGATGATTTGTTAATCAAATAACTCAAACTCTATAATTAACAAATTATTAAAAAAAAAAATCAGAATAAGTTCTCCGATTGAATTTGAATCATTCAGATTACTAACATATCAAATTTTTGTCTCTCTTTTTGACCAATTTAGTAAACAAATAGAATTAATCAGATTCAAATCTAATGTCATACCCGAGCCTGCCCCATTTTTTACACCCTATCATAGTCCAAGCCACAATTTATACGTCCCAGTAATATAAATTTAAAAAAGATACACCACAACAACTTATCACCAATAAGGAAGAGATTATTTTGCGGAATCCGGACGAAGAAAACTGTTCAATTTTATCTCTATGAACAATTAAAATAAAAAATACAGTAGTGCACAGAAACAAATCGGACAGTTCTCTCCGTCCAGCACCCTTACATAATAATTTCTACCTCAAAATGCAAATAGTCTGATAGTAATAAAAAAAAAAAAAATCAGGTGCAAGACCCAGCGAAGAGCAATCACCTTATCTTAGCCAAGACGTGTCAGCATATGGGAAGGTGATGCGGCGGCTGGGGAAGCAGACAATGGTAAGCTGTAGCGAGCAAGACAAAAGTACTGATCATCTTTTCATAAGAAATAATATTTCTTTTGACTGATTTTGCTCTTCTTTGCCCTTTAAAGTGTCCTCACTGAACGTTACGCCAATATATGATTGAGAAAGAATAATGCTAGCCTTTTAATTATGATGAATTACAAAGAAATTTTATACATTTTGAGAGATAAGCAAGTGAACCTTCATCAAATCCCTCACACTTTGGGCAAATTATTGCACCCAGTCACCGGATGCGGAGATAGGTCCGGATATTAATAAAATATTATTTTAAATTAAGCGCATCAAAAGGGCTGGTAAAATGCAGATATGCAGTCAAAAGCGCAGGTAAAGCGCATGTAACGTGGCAAATTTTTATTAGATATTCGAACATATTATCCGCGTCCGGTGACCGGTTGCAATAATTTGCCCACACTTTGGGGCTGTTTGGTAGCGGGATTTAGGCCAGATTTGAGCAAAATCCAACCAAACGACCTAAAATGCAAAACCAAATCTCACGGTTAATGAAAGCCCCGGTTGATGAAAAATTCCGCATTTTCGTGGTAAATCCTGAATTTTTGAAATCCTCTCATTCGGCGGATTTAAACGAAAGCCATATTGTTTGCATCATCTTCTCACTCTCGCCTCTTCAGAATTGCCAAACAGTCACACGGCATTTAACAGGGTGCTACCAAACAACCCCTTTACATGTTAAATCAATCTCATGGGCCGAACAGACAAGTGAACTTTCTAGAACAACCAAGTAGGTTTATGATGACTCACATGAGCTACTTTCATAATTATAACATACAAAATAAAGATCCAGGAATCCAGTTTAACTGAGAACTATTTTGACAAATAACTGTGCTACAAAAGAGGACCAAAAAATGCAACTAAAATTGGTTTAAGTTATGTTACAAATATTTCCAGGCCAGCGATATATACAGAAGAAGATAATCCTCTATTCCAGTTAAATGAATTGACTGCTAATGCAGGAACTCTTCTCTCCCATTTTTGTGATCTCTGAGCAGAAAAATCTTCAGGTGGAGTTGGTGGATCAAAAAAATGTTTTGCTCTAGAGGATAGCACAATGTCTGCCAAAGTTCAGAAGAGGAAAAAAAAAAAAGTTAAACTAGCAAAGTCATCAACAGTCATTACCTTATCAGTCATATAATTTCGGCTTTAATAATAGACAGCGGCGCTAAAATGCAAACAGCGCAAAGAGAATGACATTTAAACAAGGAACAACTGCGTCTAAAAAGTATGGTTTATACTTTCCAACTTGAAGCAGTGTGTTAGGCCGGCCCCCTTGGGCCGGCTGAACCAGCTGAACCGGTCCCTAGTGGACCGGTTCTTGTCTATAGGCAAAAGGGAAACAAGGGGACGGAATAAGGAGAGAGAGAGAGGGGGCAGCTACGTAAAGAGGGCCCACACACTAATTAAATATTATATTGGAGAGAAATTTTAAATTAGAGGCTGTTTAGGGATTTAACTTTCATCCTTTACTTTAATTAGACTAGGATTGTTAGGGTTTGAATCATCTTGAATTGGAAGAGAGATTTGAGATCTAGGATTTTGTTCTTTTGGGATCTAGGCGTTGCTAGAGATTTCGAGAGTTGTTTCTTCCTCTCGAATAAAAAAAACTTGAATTGTGTGTTGTTTTCGTATTTGTAAATTGAATAGAAGAAGTTTCCTTGTGTTTTGTTTCCAATTTTCTGAAACTTCTGCTTTGTCTTGCAGATTTCTCTTTGAAATCAGCAGGATTTTTTGCTGTTTTCACCAATTACTGTTAGGTTTGCTTGCGAACTCAAGTATTTCCCTTAGGATTACTTGTGAACTCAAGTATTTCCTATCACAGTGACAAAATGTTGCAATGTAATTGTGCTTAGCCGAAAACATCCAATAAAATGCCTGGCAGTGGATAACCTTTGAATCAAAAAACTAGTTTGAAAATATGACAAGTGGGAATCAGCTAATTTAGTTTATAAATATCTTGGAAGTTATTGAAGTTATGAAATCAGGTATTGCCTACATCAACTTCATGCTTCAACATCCAACATTCTCTAAAATAAAATATATCCATATGAAACATGATAAACACACCAGAAGGAAAAAGAAATACATCTGTAAAAAACTTGCTTTAACTTCTACTTACAACCTTAGTTACCAAGTGTCCAGCTATTTTTATTCAGTACTCGAGAAACATAAATTTATGTTATATGTTGATGTGCACAAGCCCTGGGATTTCGTATGTAAATGACCCTGAAATTTTTGAAGAATATTTAAGGAAGTTGCCAGATGAACTTAAGATGGAAAACACTAAAAATACCGAAAATAGGAGGCTGAAAAGGGACGCCTAATCCACATCTTTTGATCCAAAAAAAAATTTCAGATCAAAACACATTGGATTCAACCTCTCATTTTTCGACACCTGTAGATAGTTCAGGGTGGCCATGCAAGAAGACTCGGCATAATCCTGACAACTATTTCATGTCAACTTAATAAATCATTATATGCCATTCATTCCTACCAGTAGCTAGATCAGCTGTAACTTTTTTCTTAGCCACTCCTTTGGGAGACTTCCTAATCTAGGCCTACTGTTTTTCCATCCAAAATCAGTCAATAAATTAGCTCACCAAAATGTATTTTTCAAACTAGGAAAATAAGAGGGGTCAAGTAACGAATTTATTAAAAGTTTCCTTACCAGTTTTCTACGGCAGCAACGCATACTGCTGTGAACAGAGAAAGAGCCAGAAAAAAGAAAGTTAATATCGTGGTATTTTCTGCAAAACTTGAGGACCAGCTGCAGGAAGAGTTAGCTGCTCCGAACTGGGCGAAGATTTAATTTTCCAGTCAATAGCTGAATTGCTTGCAGCTTGTTTAGATGTTCCTTTGCCAGTCACAGTCTCTCTTTGCATTTGTTGAGACTCCATCAATGCTCTAACCTGATGCAATTTTCCATTTGATTAGTTTATTCTAATTTACATAGTTTGTAACAAAATGTAGGCTTCACATGAGGCTCTTGCCAATAGTGTGTGGAGAGGTTAATTTAAGCAGCCCAACCTCAATATCAAAGAGAGGCTGCTTCAATTATTTGAATTAGTTATCTAGATCACAGACATGGTAAGGATTAATACACTTTTATCTGTTTCAATAATTATAACTTGTAGCATCAAAGGTCACAATACTGGTACTGGGATAATTACACTTTCATCAAAACTATGAATTCCAGCACATAGTAGTGGTCACAATTCTGATTCCAAATAGTTGAATAAAGTCGATGGCAATGATGATTCTCAAATTTAAAATTTGCAACATTCATTAACAATGCAGTGGAGACAAAGCCGGTGACACCAACTAGTACCTTACAAATTTTGAATATAAGCAACATCGCATAAGAAAGATGGGCAACATCCTAAAGTTTAAACATCTACGTTTAAAAATTAATAGCCGTTAAAATTTCTATCAATTATTTTGGGTGCTCTGTCGACCAATGAATCCTTGGGGTAAACTTTTTGTTTTAAAGCTCGTAAGTACAACCATAACCTACAATGAGAATGCATGATTACCACTTCTAGTCGTTTATTGTGAACATCAGCGGAGACCTACACAATTTCAAACCATAAAATCAGTAAGATGATGAAGAAGAAGCATACAAAAAAATTGAAATAATAAGACAATTTTGTGATGAGGGAAATCAAACAATAATGGTAAAACGAAGAGAAATGCATGCATTGCATGAGAGCATACCTACTTAAATATACAAAGTTTAAAACACATACTATAGAGGAAAAGGAATCATTATTTAATAATTAATACAAGTTTATTTAACCTTTTTTTCACCAAGATAAATTCAAATGACAAATCAAAACCATCAATTATCAATTTACACCATGAAAAATATAGAACATTAAATATCATAAACTTTTTTAGAACAATTTAATAATTCAACAGGAACATTAAATTCACATTAGAAATATGGGAAAGAAAAATAGATATATTATTTATGATTTTCACTGACCACAAGTACTCAAATATAATGAAACCTAACAATCATGTACCAAACAATGTCCAGCAATTTTTAGAAACGTAACAATCATGTACCAAAACAATGTTGCGCAATTTCTATGGCTTTTACGTCAAAAGTTTTTTTTTTCCTTCAATTTTTCCAGAAGGCATTAGACATTTCCTGTTTCGATTATAATTGATTTTTGTTCTTACATTCATGAAACAAGTCAAATTTCATACTAATGTCATACAATAACCCAAATTAAAACTCTTAAATCACTTGATGATTTATTAGAAAAGATTAAGATGTGATTTTCTCTCTCTCTCGGGAAAAGTAGAAGATTTATAAGAATAAATTATCTTGGAACAACAACAACAGCAAGTTTTTCTCCCACTACGTGGGGTCGTCTACATGAATCATTTTTCGCCATTGTGCCCTGTTAAAAGTCTTCTCATTTAAATCTAACAAAGAAAGATTATTTCTAATATTTTTTAACCAAGTCTTTTTAGGTCTACCTCTACCTTTCCTAACATAAGTCAAATCTAATACCTCAACTCTCCTAACCGAGTCATCATAAAGCCTCCGTTTAATGTGACCAAACCATTTGTTCATCTCCAATGTTTCCAAACAAACGGAATAGGTGATGCATTTTTTTTCGGTCTTTTGAACAGTATATTGGATATCGAATCTCCCAAAGCAAGTAGCATACGTACAAGTAGAATCCAGAAAAAGGAGTTTATATTAGCCATAAGATTTTTTATTGAGTTAGAAATTCCCAAGAAAGGTTAGAATGGTAATTTACACCTCTTGGGAGATACTAACTAAATGAGTGTGAGGGATAGACTTCTCTCCTCCTAAAAGGAGAATTGTCATTCTCTAACAGATTAAAATTTAATACTATAACCTTCAAATGTAAGATCTAAATTGCCCAATCTTTAACATCATTAAAACTAGTGGCATGAATGATTTAAAAAAAAAACTAAATCCATATGACCATCAAATGTAAAATTTTTACAATAGGTAGTTTCAATTGCATGAGAAGATAATTGCAATTACAAAGTAAAGAGGCTTCCAAATGTCTTGGAGTGAAATTTTAGAGGTTGATGATATCTTGCATAATGATTTTGACTAATGAAATTTATAGACAAAACTAAACTTTTAAAAGAGTTTATGTCTAACATCCAATCTTCCATGTATTTTCATATATTTGATGAATAGTTAAATCATCATAAAAATTAATTAACATTAAATTCCTATTTTGTAAATCAAAACAAACAAAATGGTCTAGAGTTTTAAGGTTATATGAAGCAATAATTTCAAAACTAAAATTAAGAGAAACAATCATTCTCCTTAGAGGGAAAAGCATATATATATAATAGAAGTAGCATTTGAAAGCTTTGGATCTTTAACATGTGCATGTCAGACATAAAAAGTAGCATTTGAAAGCTTTGGATCAGACATTCCAATGCATCAAATGTAAGATTAATATAATAGAAGATCCCATAGTCAAATGGCGATGGCATCACACGAAATCAACATTGACGTACTGTATATAATAATTTGACGGTGGCAGCTTTTGATAGATAAAGTCAACCAACAATGAAGCTGGCAACAATATAGGAAACTAGGGAAAATGTATATTTCCATTTGTAGAAATTTGGAGGAATAGTAGTGATTGGAGTCTTCTCAAACTCCGTTGCAATAATAGTGATGTAGGACTACATGCATAAATCGGAAACTTGCACAAAATATTTTAAGAACAATTTCAGATTTTCGCTATTCGTTATTAAAACAACAAAGTAAAACTGATAACAGTCACTTCCGTTTAGGCTAAACTACGCAAGAGGCTAAACGAAATCAAAACACGTAGGAAAAATAAAGCATTGCATGCGGAGTAGTTTCCAACTTAACCTTCGTTTAACAACGAGATCCAAAAGCAAAGAAGTACAAATCCTACGAATACTAGTGGATGGCGATGAGTAGACACAATCTCTTGCTTGAACAATTTCTCACGAAGACAGTAGAATTTGAAAGTAAATGAGTCAAGGAAGAAAATCACCTTCTCGGAGAAACGTCGTAATTCACCACGTACCTTCCAATAGTACTCCTTCAACGACTACTACGGGAGGGAGGAATTTCTAGGGTTCCGCCAATGATTTGAATCAAGCCGACGAAGGAAATTTGAGAAGATCCACGACGCCTTGGCCGTCGAATGCGAGGTAGGAATTAAACGTCGGATCGGCCATGCATCATTATCATGTAAGGAGAGAACGAACTCGAGAGGGAGAGGAAAAGAGATGACGGTGGGAAGAAGGAAGAAACTAGGGTTAGGAGAGAACTAGGTAGGGTGGAGGAAAAGTGTTGTAATCTCCATGCCCAAATTAATCTCAGATTTTTAAGTAGAAGTGGAGGGAAAAATCTGAAATTTGAATTTCAAAAGACAAGTAATTAGGAGCCTTAATGTAGCTTTAAGGAGGGGGGGGGGCCACCAAGGGGGCCGGCGGCATAGTAAAGGGGGAAGGGGGTTTGGGAGAGTGTAATGGGTTTCCTAATTTGCTCCAACAAATTAATGAAGAAAGATTTTAAATCCGTTTCAATTCAAATTTGAAATTGAAACCTCATTGAAACTTTCCTAATTTGTCACCGGACAAATTTGGAAACTTTCACTCATCAAAATTTTAAAATTTCGAAATTTGAAAATACATGAGGTGGCGGCAAGGGAGCTGGTAATTAACGGGAGTGGAGTGGTAGATGGAGGGGAGGCCGACGGTTAAGGAGATGGCCAGCGGGATGAATGGGAGGGGCGGGTTTTGGGGAGATTGAGCTTGGGTGGTGAGGTTAGGAGGTGATGATTGGTGGTGGGGAATGGCCGGCGGTGGACGTTGGGTAGAGGGGAAACAAGGGAGGAGGATAAACCAAGAGGCACCGGTGGTGACTGTTGGGTACGACGGGTGGCCTCTCCTAGGCTCCACCAAACTCTCAACACTCAAGCTCCACACAAAAGCTTAAAGAAGACAAAATGCAGGAAATTTTCTTCCATAGCATTCATTCGCTTCAAAAGTACAAGAGGAAGGCTTTAAATAGCCTATTACAATGACATAAAGCAAAAGGACTCAAATACCCTCAAGGGGCTACATGACTCAATCCCTCAAGCAAGGGTAAAAAAGGAAAAATGCTGAAATAAAATACATCAATAAGAAAATGACAATACTAAAATCAAAAGTACATCGGAATAAGAACATGTCAATACTAAAAATCAAAAGTACATCAGATAAATCATGACCGTAGATCTACGGCCACGTCAACGGTAGACTTTCCAACTGATGTCCCCATCAAACAGCCTCTAACAAAATTACCTATTCAAGTTTTGGCTCAAGATTATCTTCAGAAACATAATCATCACGTTCAAGTTTAGGGGATGAGATATTGTGACTATTGAAGATGGGCATAGTTAGGAAATTAAAGCGTTAGGCAAAGACATGAAATAAGCTTGTCAAGTTTTAAACATAAGATTTGTTGGGATTCATTATTGACATATGATACCAAATGAGAGAAACCAGAGCAAGGGTAGCAAAGAAGACTAACAAGAATCCACCATGAGAAGAGTTTGAGAAAAATATCTTTTATTCAATTCATTTTGCAGTGATTCAAATACAATACCATTATTTCTCATTTATGAACATAAAGTTTACAAAGATAAATTAATCATTTAAGTTCAAATCTAATCTCATAAAAATGAAATCTAATCCTAAATAATTCAACTTCAAACTTCGAATTAACCAATTAGGAAAATTTATCCAAATGAAAATATCAAATATCCTACTATAAATATAAATAGAAAATAAAATACTGCAAACCTAATTTCATGTTCAGCATCAGAAAGATGACCTTAAAAGCTATTTCTCCTCATGTTAGATGAAGGGAAATTAAATTCAAATAGCCTCATGTTAGATGAAGGGAAATTAAATTCAAATAGCCAAATAATGAAAATTCACATTATTTCTCTCCATTTTCTCCAATTCCTTCAGAACTAATAAAGACAAACTAATCTCAACATTGCAAAAAAAATTTGAACATATAACAATCTTACGTATCAGGATCAAGCATATGAGACATCAAATGAAAGTTACAAGATCAATGCCACTAGAGTGATCTAGACTATGTTAACTAGTCCAAGTCATTTAAAAAGGATGAGCGCTTTATGCAGAGTTTGGACAACGAGAAAAGAATATTGCATTTTAAGTACTACAAATTCAAAGTCATGTTCAGTCTGAGTTAAAATATAAAAATTAAACTGATAGGAAACAGCCACAAAACAGAGGAAAACAGAAGAAATTTAATAGAAATCTGAGAGAAAATAAAGCAAATCTCTTGTATTCCACTAGTAGATGCAAGAAAACAAGCAAAGATACAATTTCCTTCAATTCGAGAGGAAGGAATTGTTAAGAGAGTTGTTATTTGCATGTTTTACATTTTTGCAACTTATAAAATTTTGATGATTCCAAATATTATTGTTTAAAATTTTGTTTTCTCCAAACACTTTTTAGAAGAATTATTTTGCTCTTGTGTGGACTAACATTTCAGGATAATCGAACT